TAAAAATCTATTAGATATAACCTGTTAAAAGAATATGTAACTTAATTATGATTAAATTTTGGGTTCGATAATCGATTTTATTATAGTGATTTAATCATTAATTTCATATTTTTTTCCGAATAAATAAATTAAATTTAAGAAGAAGAATAAGCAACTAGACTCCTCTCTCTATCAAAAATGAGGAAAAAGAAAGAGGAAAATACAATTTTAACTGAAATATATTATTTGTTATAATTTATGGTAAGTTTGATCAAAACGAAAGAAAAATGATAAAATCGTTAAAAAATAGAATTTTAAGTAATACGTAATAGATAAAATATTAATTTTTTCTTAACTTGTAATAACGAACATTATACAAAGAAATTAATTGAATTTAAGCTCGATAAAATGTAACAAACCCTTAATTTAATTCAATAATTAGGTCTTAAATCCATTTATAAAAGTCTCCTATTTGAATCTTATCCAAAATATTTATATTTGTCCCACTTTATTACCAATAAGACAATAATATATGTTATTGTCTTAACGAATAATATTAATTTATTAAAAAATAACATGTAAATATATTAACTCGACTATTATTGATATGAGTATCACGTCGATTATTATTGGATGTAAAAGATAAAAAATCTTTCAAAATTTTGATCCAATCTTTTCATAAAATAAAGAGCGGATAGGGGCAGTCGTCCTCTTAAAATTTTAAAATTATTATATATTTTAGATTTTTCAATGTGTTTTTTATTGAAAATTTGTCTTAGTCCTTATAAAATCTTATAAGTTTAAGTTTACCTTTAAAAATTTAAAAATTTAGATTTGTCCCTAACATTAAATACCGCATCCGTCACCCGATGAATCTATTTGACGAATTGAAAGTTTTCCTGAATCGGTCCAAAAATAGGGTTTGAAACTGTAGGTCACATTAACTGTTTGTTAATAAACTCTTTGCTTGATTGACTCATGCTTCCGGGTAGGGCAGTAAATGAGACGAGACAGATCGTGAGTTATTCGAGATCAATTCGATCAAGGCTCGATAAATACTCGGATCGAATAAATTCGACTCGAGCTCGAGTTCTTAACGAGCTGAAACGAGTTACTCGATATTCGACTCGGAAAAACTCGCGAGCAGCTCGAAAATATAATATATTAAGATTTTATTTTTTAAAAAAATAAATTAATAATAATATTAATATTTATGTATTGATTTTTTTTAAAAATATATATAATAAGATTTCATGTATTTAAGGTTTATGTTCGAGTTTGAGGCTTCAATCGAGTTAAGTTTAAGAATTTTTTTCATTTCGAGCTGCTCACGAGCTTCAGTTCAGGATTTCGAGTTCAAGTCGAGCTTTAAAATTTTAAACTCGCGAATTTTCGAATCGAGTCAAACTCCATTTCAGAGTTTTCGAGTCGAGTCAAGCTCAACAATACTCGAACTCGACTCTGCTCGTTTAAGTGATGCAAGTTACGCCTCTGCTTCAAAATTTTGCTTTCGTAAATTCATAAACAAAAACACGAGTACGTGAATTATTAGTACAATTAAATATTCTAATTAAATTGTTTATTTTCGAATTTCATTTCATGGATTAAAAATCATATATTTTTATTGATATGAAATTATTATATAATAATATATGTTTAAAAAAATTTCAAGTCTCAATTATTTAATAACAAACACTTAAATATATTTAGAGATGTCATGCTCGAATCTAAATTCTCTAAAATTAACAACCAATCGCTTAAGCCAATAAAATCATTTACTTTGGGCCTTTAAAATCAATTTTTTTTATTAATATAGAGTAAGTACATGATAATATATGTTTAAAAATAACTCTCAACTATTTAACATTAAACACTCATACTCTTCGGTAGCGTTTGGTTCGCTAGAATGTTTCTGAGGGAATTGGAATCTGTGAATGAATTAGAATCTGTCAGGAATTGGAATCCAATTCCATATTCTGTTTGGTTGGCAGGAAATGGAATTGGAATCAAATTCCATATTCTGTTTGGTTCGCAGACATGTCAGATGAATTTGATTTCAATAATGTAAAATGACAGAATTCCCCTTCTTGTTTTTTGCTTTATTTTAGTTTGTTTTACAACTTACATGTAGTAATATATTATAAAAAATTAAAAAATATTAAATTTTCATTTTATTAATTGATTATCCATTTCAATACATTATAAAAATCATGCTAATAAATATCATAAGTTAAAATCATCGCAATCAAAATATGTTAATAAGTTACCAAAAGATAGAGCAATATTTCGATACATTCCAATCAGAGTATGTTAACTAGTTACCAAAAAATATACCAAAAACTATTTTTTATTCAATATATGAATTAGAAACTCGACCCGAGACGACACGGAATAATAAAAAAGTATTTTTATTCAATAAAAACATTGACTTAATTGAAAAAAAAATTATATATAGAGGGGTATTATTGTAATTATTCTTAAATATATAAGGTAAAATTATATTTTTTCGGGTCGGGTCCGGTTTTTTCATCCTAAACCCGAATTCGACCAGACCTGAATATCACACTTAAAAAAACCGGACACGACCCGAATATCACACTTAAAAAAATCCGACCCGACTCGACCCGAATATCATGCTTAAAAAACCCGACCCGAACAAAATAAAGTTTCACCCGATCCGACCCGAAATAATAAAAAATTATTTTTATTCAATAAAAATAGTGACTTAATTGAAAAAAATTATATATATAGAGGGGTATTACTGTAATTATTTCTAAATATATAAGGTAAAATTATATATATTTTCGGGTCAGATATTTTTCACTCTAAACTCGAACTCGACCCGACCCGAATATCACACTTAAAAAAACGACTCGACCCGAATATATGAATTAGAAACCCGACCCGACCCGAAATAATAAAAAAAATATTTTTATTCAATATATGAATAAGTTACCAAAAGATTGATGATGGTAGTATGATTAAATTTCAATTTCCTCCATCAAGAGAATTAAATTTCAATTTCCTCCATCAAGAGAATTGAATTTCATCCATTTATTGATAGAATTCACTTTCCCTCATTTGATGAAAAGTTGAAACCATGAGGGATTCCAACTCTCTTAAAAAACTTGAACCAAACATGAGAAAGTGGTAGAATTAAATTCCAATTCTCACCAATTTTAAGGGATTTATACCAACCAAACGTCACCTTAATATTCTTGATGCTCGAACTAAAGATCTCAAAAAATAATAATAATTCAGTTACTACTTAAACTATTGGTTCATGCTGAAATATATAATAAAACTGAAAAAGCAAATACAAGATTTCTATGTAAATTACATATTTATCCTTAATTATTGTGAAGGTTGGGAGGGTAGAATAGTGAAATGGGAAAAGGAGACGTCAAATGTCAATCAAAAAGGGGAGGGGGGAGAAACAAAATCATGTTATTCCACCCTAAATGGCTTTATCATGTCTCCATCATCTCTTTCCTAAACTGTAGAAAGCCTCACCCCATTTCCAAATACAGCCCCCACTCTCTTTCTCTTTCTCACTGAAGTGATAGCTTACTTCACCCATTTTCATGGGACTAAATATTCATAAAAAAATATATGTAGTTTCATTTTGAAAAATACTTTTAATCAAGGTGATTATATCAAAAAATTACCTTTTCACACTATATACATGTCAAACATCTTTCTATCTTTAATTATTGATCTAACATCATTTGCAAAAAGGCGCACCCCTGAAGCGCACCTTAAGCTGATCTGACGCCACGTGAGGTAAGGCGCGTCCCTTGAAGCGCGTCTTACGCTGACATGGATACACGCTGGCTAAATAGCATCCCCGGGGCACGCCTTATGCCACGTAGGGGTATAACGCGGTGCAGAGGCCGCGCCTTTGCTTTAACACAATTATGCAAGGCGTTGTTCAGGGTCGCGTCTTTGCTTTAACTCTGAGACAGTTATCTTTAACATAGTTGCAGAAAGACGCGACCCCTGTACTGCGTTATACCCCTACGTGGCATAAGGTGGCCCCCAGAGGCCGCACCTTAGCCAGCGTGTACCCATGTCAGCATAAGGAGAGCTTCAGAGGGCGCGCCTTACCCCACGTGGTGCCATATCAGCATAAGGCGCGCTTTAGGAGGACACCTTTCTGTAAAGGGTGTTAGATCGATAAATAGAGATGAAATGGTGTCTGACAGGTATATAATGTTTGAAAAGATGATTTTTCGGTATAATCACCTTTAATCAATTAATGTGTCTATCAAATTTTACTGAGCGTCTCAGTAATTAATACAATGGTTGTTATCTCTGAAAGTTTTAGGTTTGAGCACGTCATCTATAAGGAATATTTGAATGTTTATTGTCAAATAGATATTACCTTGTAATCATCACAGATTAATAAAATGTCTATATTAATCATTAAATTCATTAAGTGATATCAGTGGTAAAAAAAAGAATGATACTTCTCTCTAAATATCCCCTATTCAAATTGTTGCGTTTGTAGAATGTGTGCATCGTCAATAACTTTTCTATAACCGGAGTAATATCGATATCTCTTATGTTATGTTTAGGGTTTAAGATTTTAGATATAGAATTAAAGTTTATGGTTTAAGGGTTTAGGGGCTGGTGTTCAAAATTATTCAAATATATCACATGACATTCAAACAAACACACTTAACTATAATTACCATTTGATTATTATAATAATTATTTAGATATATCACTCATTTGTAATTATTGATTATAAATAATTACACTTAATTATAAAAAATTATATTTTATTTATATTCACATGTATGTGTGTATGCATGATGAGAAGCTTTCAAGTTATCTAGGATTGATCAAAGAAAAGATTGAAAGAAACCTCAAAGAAAAGCAATGGGGACTCTCACTATACCCTACCTTTCACTACATACTACTCTTTTCTCCCCTAAATTCCCTATATATTTTATATCTCATAAATAATTATTGTTCACAAAAAAAAAAAACTCCCTATATACCCTTCTCATCATCATCTTCTTTCTCCTGCCATTGTTGAGTCTTCGTTTCCTATGTGAAATTCTATCTGTTTTCAATCATCCATCGATCTCGATAAATATTTATATGGATTCTCTTCAGGGTTTCAAAACCTCGGATTCAAGCCCTTCTTCCGCCACCATTTTGAACCCATGTTTCCCTGCAGACCTCTCCATCGCCACCGCAAGCACTACCGTGAACACCACCATCACTATGACCTCTAACACCAAAGCGAATCCTTTACCAGCCGCTGCCAGCTCTTCTCCTCCTCCTTCGACTCTCAGCCGCTACGAGAACCAAAAGCGGCGTGACTGGAACACTTTCGGGCAGTACCTCCGGAACCACCGACCGCCGCTCTCGCTCTCCCGCTGCAGCGGCGCTCACGTCCTGGAGTTCCTCCGGTACCTTGACCAGTTCGGGAAAACCAAAGTACACACCCAGCTTTGTCCTTTCTTCGGTCACCCTAACCCTCCGGCTCCATGCCCTTGCCCTCTCCGGCAAGCTTGGGGAAGCCTCGATGCTCTCATCGGACGCCTCCGTGCCGCCTACGAAGAACACGGCGGCAAACCCGAAGCTAACCCTTTCGGTGCCAGAGCTATTAGGCTTTACCTACGTGAGGTTCGTGATTCACAGGCTAAAGCGAGAGGCATAAGCTATGAGAAGAAGAAACGAAAGCGGCCACCTAAAGCTCCACCACCACAGCCACCGTCTCTTCCGCCAGATCCCAACCAAAACCAGTAA